TAGATAGGTTTTTGAAAGATGGGTGGACGCTAAACAAAGAAAAAACTTGGAATGGCCTTATTACGAGTTAATTAATCTTTTCTCGTTATTACGAGATTCTTTTCTCGTAATAGAGAGGTTGAGATTTCAAACGTGTACGTGTACGGGTACGTCTAGGAGGGGAATAACCTAAATTCTGTGTGTATTACGTCATCGATTTTAGTGACGCCAAGATTGCTACACGTTCGTAAAACTTGTAGAATGGAATCTACACGTAAGTGAAAATGTGTAGCTTTAATAATAAAAATTCCCCAATTCAAAAGTGAAAATGTGATTGTTATACATTATATAGGATGTTTACTTTCACGAGCACTTATTTTCAGCAAGTTTTGTTTACATACTGACGACAAAAAACTTTCTACATAGTTGAAACAGAGACACCGATAGCGGTGTACACGTACATGTTACACGTCATAAAAATCTCAACAGAAAAATTAAGAATAACGTGTACGTGTACGTCAAAATATCTACAAGTACACGTACGCGTACAAGTTTAAGATCTCAACCTCTCTAATAACGAGATAATTAACTCGTAATAACGAGATCTTTTCTCGTTATTACGAGGTCTTTTCTCGTAATAACGAGATAAAAATATTTTTTTTATGTGGCCTTATTCGTCTTTAACTCGTAATTACGAGATCTTTTCTCGTAATAATGAGATAATTATCTCGTAATAACGAGATCTTTTCTCGTTATTACGAGATAATTAACTCGTAATTACGAGATCTTTTCTCGTACTAACGAGATGATTATCTCGTAATAACGAGATCTTTTCTCGTAATAACGAGATAATTAAATTATCTCGTAATTACGAGATAAAAATATTTATTTATGTGGCCCTATTCGTCTTTCGTACAAAAGGGGTACACTTAAAAAAAATAAAGGATATTAGACATGGTACAGTAATCTGTAAATGGGTTAAAGTATTAATGATTAATTTATTAAATCATAAAATAAAAAGTTAGTGTATTAGAGATCCAAGATCAGGAGTATGTTCTGTATTTAATACGTTCAAAAGTCGTATTTTCTACTTTTCATTACGTTACACCAGTCAGTTTTCTTTTCCTTTACTACACCTAACCTTGTCTCTCGTTGTTCTGACTTTGTTTTAAATGTATTCTTGCTCATGATCAGTATTTTTGTTACTTTTGCAGGAATGACGTGGTTCCTGTGGTTATGGGAGCCCACCCCGACGACTACAAAAGATCCGCTCCACCAAATTCTTACTTGCACGTAGAAGAATTTGAATCTTCTCAACAATTAGCGAACTATCTCAAGTCGTTAGATGCAAACGACGAACTTTATAATAAATATTTCAAGTGGAAAGGAACAGGGGAGTTCATAGACACTAAATTCTGGTGTAGATTATGTGCAATGATAAATGATATTAATAAACCAAATTTCGTCGTACGAGATCTTTCATCTTGGTGGAAAAAACCGGAAATTTGTATACGAGGTGATCAAAGATGGCGAAGGTGACCATATCGAATCTAGTTGGTTTATATAGACATTTTACGTAAATTAAACCGTTATCTTTTAATCATAGTTATCCGTTGTTTGTAAATCATGATACTTTAATGGCCAAAATATCTGAAAATAAATAGAGGTAAGAGATTTTGGGTACCAAGAGAAAAGTGTAAGCTCCCTTTGCTATGAGCGTTATTTACGACCCCCTTATGAAAATTTACTCTGTCTTTGAATTAATTGATCAACAGGGCTTTATGTACTTGTTTAAAGGCAAACTGAACATTTTATCATGTTGTAAATTTTGAATTTACTAGGGGGAGGTGAATGCAAAATTTACTACATGATATTTGTTACTTTATCATGTTGTAAATTTTGCATTTACCTCCCCCTAATAAATTCAAAATTTACAACATGATAATTAACACAATTTTTAGCTCACCTGAGCCAAAGGCTCAGGTGAGCTTTTCTGATCAAAATGTCCGTTGTCTGTCGTTGTCGTCGTTGTCGTAAACTTTTCACATTTTCATCTTCTTCTCAAGAACCACTGGGCCAATTTCAACCAAACTTGCTACAAAGTATCCTTGGGTAAAGGGGATTCAAGTTTGTTCAAATGAAGGGCCACGCCCTTTTCCAAGGGAGATAATTATGAATTGAGAAAAATTAATGGCATTTTTAAAAAAATCTTCTTCTCAAGAACCACTGGGCCAGGAAAGATGAAACTCATGTGGAATCATCCTCAGGTAGTGTACATTCAAGTTTGTTCAAATCATGACCCCCGGGGGTAGGGTGGGACCAAAATGGCCGATCAAAGTTTTACATAGGAATATATAGGAAAAATCTTTATAAATCTTCTTCTCCAGAAACACTGGGCCAGGAAAGATGAAACTCATTTGGAATCATCTTCAGGTAGTGTAGATTCAAGTTTGTTCAAAGCATGTCCCCCGGGGGTAGGGTGGTGCCAAAATGGCCGATCAAAGATTTACAAAGGAATATATAGGAAAAATCTTTAAATATTTTCTTCTCAAGAACCACTTGGCCAGGAAATATGAAACTCATATGGAATCATCCTCAGGTAGTGTAGATTCAAGTTTCAAATCATGACCCCTGGGGGTAGGGTGGGGCCAAAATGGCCAATCAAAGTTTTACATAGGAATATATAGGAAAAATCTTCTTCTCAAGAACCATTGAGACAGGAAAGATGAAACTCTTGTGGAATCATCCCCAGGTAGTGTAGATTCAAGTTTCTTCAAATCTTGACCCCCTTGGGTAGGGCCAAATGGCCGATTAAAGTTTTAAATAGGAATATATGGGGAAACCTTTTAAAATCTTCTTTTCAAGTACTTCAAAGCCATGCTTAGTGATATTTATAGGGAATCATCCTCAGATATTGTAGATTCTAGTTTGTTCAAATCATGACCCCCTGGGGGGTTAAAATTCAAGCCCCCTCCCCCATCCCCCCCCCCCCGCCCTCAGCAAAACTTTCAGTTCTGATCTGATATATGCTTTTTTCTAGCCAATTGCTCAGGTGAGCGATGTGGCCCCTGGGCCTCTTGTTTTAATTGCATTTCTGCCATAATTCAATGTTTTAATTAGATTCAAAAATTGAAGAAAACTGTGTTAGAGACTATATAGACAACTTGGAGATTTTTAAGAGACGCCACCTTGCCGAAAGGTCCTTTCGAAAGGAAAGTCTCAAATACAAAATGAGTCATTTTAGGAGTTACAAGTAGTATATAAATAGTGTTCACAACCATCGCCCACTTCCACTTTTGGATATTCTTTGTAAAAATCTTGAAGAAATCTTATTTCTTATTTTTGGGACAACATGTGATCTTACCGCACGAACAGCTTTTTATTTCAGAAAAAACAGCCATGTTTATATATTGACTTCCCCTACCTTCTATTTTTCAAAAAATCGACTGCCTGAAATGAGATCCTGATCATAATGCCTATGGAAATAATTTGACAAGGAATGGTGCCTTAATTGGTCAATTATTTCAAATAAACATTGAGGAAAATTACAAGCTTTAAAACTTTTTATTCGATTGGTATTAATAAAGTACATCAAATATGCCGTCACAATTTTCTGCGAAATTTAGTCCCAGTGTACTTCAAAAGTACAAGTAAAACTGAAATGTAAGAGATCTGCATAATTTTTTACCTGCGGAATTAGAAAAAATGTAATTCGATGGAATGATGACTCAATAAAGAAGAAGGTTTACATTAATTTAAAAAAAAAATTGTGCATTAATTACTTTAACAACAACCTCCCAACCCCAACCCCGTGAATTTAGACTTTTCAATAATTGAAAAAAAGAATTCAATATAATTCTAAATTTCACTGAAAGCATAATTTTTTTGGCAAAAGAGATACATGTATAATGATTACATGTTTTCAACAACATCTACATAATACATATTGACTTATATCAATATATTCTATATTATGTCAATAACAGTAGTTCGTCCAGTTTTCATAACCTTCAGGAATATATACTTGTACGTATATGTTAAATCAGTTCAGTCCTCTAATGCAGCCAGAAGCTCTTTGAACCTGTAAAATATAACGGTAATACAGATAAAGATTGCACTTATTTTGTGTGGAAAAAAAGTATGGCTAATATATTTTGTTGTGCAGTTATTAAACATATACTAGTATTTGAAAAAAAAGAAAAAAATCTTAATAACTCTGTCAAAAGTTGAATAAAACAGGAAAAGAACATATCCGTGTATTATCAAATTAGTTGTCAATAGCATGTCTCCTTTAGAAAATGATCGTTAGAAGAACTCTTCTTTAATGTGTACTGAATTTAGTGGGAGATATTAAATCAGATGTAGGTTGGAATGGTGTTTTGCTACAAGATGATTGATCAATGAAAAGATAATAAAGATTAAATATACATTAAAGTGTACTGCCAGCTATCTATCCAAGGACTACAGTATGGTCTGACCTGCGTGTCTTTCGTGAGGCACGTCGTCGTTTTCGGTGTGAACAGATTCAGAGTCCGTGTCCACGCCTTCCACCTCCATTAACCAGTATGTGCGGACGATTCCCTTAAATGCGTTCTGGAGGTCGAGATCATTCTACAAATCCGAAAAAAAAAAATAAAATCTACTCTTTTTGCATCGTTTGTAATTGTATACAAGGAAAAGGAGGCAGTGACATTTACGAATGAGGAATTTTACTTACTTTACGAAGCCACATTATTGTTTATGTTTCATAACGCGTCAAACCTTTGCAGTGTTATCCTTCCTTTCCTGCATTGTAAATCCGCCGATGGAGGTCAAGAGGTCATAGGTCGTCTCGCTTAGGTGAACTTTGTTTGCTGTGAAATCCAGGAAAATAATTTTCTGATAAAGGATCATCTCAAAGTTTGAATGAAAAATCTTTCCACACGGAGGAATTTGATTTCTTACCTTTTCCAAGGGATTCCATTTTGGAGGCAACGCTCACTGTTTCACCAAAGAGGCAATACCTCGGCATCTTGTTTCCTACTACACCAGCCACCACAGCACCTGTTTTTAACAAAACCGTACGAAGTTATTACATCTTATCAAAACACGGAAAACGGATACAATCAAAACACCATAATGTCAATATAATTGAAAGTCGAAGAAATCACATTCACAGGAAGAAGAATGAGTTTTTGTTTGTATTTTTTATTCCTATTTTTTTTTCTTTTTGCAGAAGTTAAGCATCAAATGTAATCAGTGTCAGCATCCGTATACAGGATCCTTCAAAGTGTATGTATTGCACCATTTAAGTTTTGAATATTATTAACTGTGAAAAAAGTGACATAGACATACATGTAAATCTGTCCTGCACCCATCAATGATTTTAGGCTAGATGCAGCGTCGGATGTAAAAAGTTTGGTTTAACCGAGAGCATCCCGTTAAATGAAATAAATTTGTAAATGCGGATGAATGTATTTTGAAAAAAAAAACAAAAAACGACGCAACCGTAACCTTTCGTCTTAGAACGTTTCAAGGAAAAGCTGCACGCGCCAGACTAAAACCAGATCACCGACTTACCAGAATGTCAACCAGCTATTACACAGGCGTTTGATAAACAGAAGATGATATATTGGCAACTTACCAGAATGACAACCGATACGCAGGCTAAATTTGATCCCCGGAAGATGGGGTATTTCCAGATGGCGAAGTTTTCTTACAAGATCAAAGGCCATCTTTGCAATCTCTGATGCGTGCTGTTTCCCATTCTTTCTCGGTACACCTATTTTAAATTTTTGATATGTCAACGATATTTGAATGCTAAAAAATTAAAACGTTATTCAAAACACATGTTTAAGGTTTTCCTACCTGACACGACCATATAGGCATCTCCTATAGTTTCCACTTTGTAAACATCGTACATTTCAATTCTTTCGTCAAAACAAGTGTATAGACTGTTTAACATGTCAACAACCTGTAAATTAAACACTTAAATTATTAAACGAAAAACTCTTTTCTAAACAGAAACTCTTTTACCAGTACAATGAATTTGGTTAAACTACATTTTCCTTACCTGCAAGGGAGAGCTTGAGGAAGAAATTTTGGTGAATCCAACAATATCACTGAAGAAGATGGTGGCTTGGTCGTAGTGCTCAGCGTCCACTTGCTCGTTACACTTGAGACGTTCCGCCACAGATTTAGGCAGCATCTGGTAGAGGAGTGTGTCGGTTCTCTTCTTTTCCTTGTTCAATGCTTTTGTTCTTAAACAGAATTCAATTCAGATTCAACATTATTCTCAACATTTATTTTAGAAATAAGCAATAGTTTTCGTTGTATTTTTGAGGAGCTATTTTGTGTCTGCACCAGTGGTGCTTAGGAAGCAAGCTTAGTAGGCTATATCAATAATATTCATACCTATTTGCAATGGAAATGGAGTATTTCTGAATCTCCGAAGTCAGAAAGTATACACCTACAATCACCAAAGGACAAACGATGAAAACAGCCCCAAAGATACAAGCAATCGTTATAATGGTGTACATGTCTTCCGTGCTTCTCACCGTCAACATTTCGTTTATCTTTGTTGCTAGAGCCTTTTGTGTTTCTCGAACAATATCCTGATATACAGTCATATTGTCAAACCATGCATTTGCCTTTTCTAGTGAACCCTGGCTTTGATAACTCTTGTTTGACCGAATCTGAAGCCTCATAGATCGTACAGGAGCTAAAATCAAATCATTGCTTAAAAGTTGATTCTCATAAATGCTGTAAGCTAGCTCAGAATATCTCCGACACGACATAAATGTTATATTTGCAATGTCTTGAGCCTCCAAAAACAGCAAGTAATCTTCCTTGCTTCTAAACCCACCGAAAGCGAAATACGTTACACCCATGCCTCGTTCTCGCCCAATGTATTCGCTAGCAACGATGATTTCTTGATAGGCTACCAAAGTTTTCCAAATGGAGCCTGATCTTGCCTCAGAAACAGCATCATATAACCAAGTGATGAAAATATCAATTACATCAGTGTAGAATAGCATCTCCTCCTTAACTGTTCGGTTGTACAGATCCAGCTGATATCGGTGACGGTTTAGAAACAACAGAAATTTGTCCTTTGATTGGAATTCTTGCCTGTCGTTTTTCTTACTGACAGGCCAGAAAGATAAGTTTTCTAGAGCCATGTCAGTATCCGGGTACCTTCTAAGGAGAACTTCCTTTGTATCTGGGCCAATGGCGCTTATGTAGAGGGCGCTCATGTCTCGTTCTCGTTGTAGGTATCTCATCATTTGACCAAGTTCAATCCTGAAAGACCCTCATTTAAATATAAATATTAAACACAATTTCATTAATATTTTCTTTTATAAAGCCTTGTCCAGCAAAGATTTTGATGGAAAAAAAAATGATTACAATATTATTATGATTCTCTTCTTAAATTTATTGTTACTTATTAGTTAGTTGTTATTGATAATAAAATTTCTTTTCCTCACGAGAAGAAGAGGGCGTCTCTTGTGTCCTTGGCTTCTATGAAGTTTCTTATGGTTGATACGAAGACATTACCCGTCATGCCTACTAGTATTGCCATAGGAAGAAGCACTACAGACAGCATTTTCAACAACTGTTTCCGCTTTCCAGATTCAGTGATTGGATTTCCTTTTTAAAATAAAATCATCATGAGTGCGCATTTAATATTTACTCATAAAAGTTACTGAGCATGATATTTGGTACGTGTATTTAGAATTATTATAACTATTTGTCAAAATTGTTTTTCTGTCTTTTACTTTTCAAGTTGATTTAAGATTTGAAAAATAAATTAACTTTTACCCCGACAGACATGATCACAGCTATTTGTAGTCTGAGATAAGTTGAGCATGTCCATAATCGCCAAATTCAGTTGAGACTGAGTCATGGATCCGGCCGAACTGTTCAAAGAATGGCAGGACTTTGATGGTTGAACCTGATTGTTCTTTTTCTTGAACAACCCCATGATGTCCAGAAAATCTGACCTTAGGTTTTCTCAATGTTTCTGATATAAAGGTAAAAAAAAATAAATCATTCCAGAGTTCATTTCAAGTAACGACATGCTAAAATATTGAGAAAATATAATTTTAGGATTTCTCTTGTATTGTTTAAGGAGTTATACTAAATCTTAAAACCTTACCTTTCTGTTGAAAGTTCTTTTTCAAAATTGTTTAAAGTTAATACTCAGGAAAATGTTGCTCAAATGCCGGTAACCATAGTAACATACTACGTTTCTTCACGTGGGCTCAGATCAATTTTAAAAGTGATAATCAAATCATTTTCTCCTCAAAATATCGATTTCCTTTTGCTTGAAAAAAGTTCATGGTGTTATTCTGTATGATATTATGATATATTACTACATCACACCGAATTTCTATTTTGAAAAAAACTGACGTTTTTGCAATAATTTATTAAGTTAATACTTGTTATTAATTAAAGTATTCCTAATACATGTCGAATGATGGAAGATTTCAAATGATGTAGTGTGCATTCATCTCGAGAGATGTCAAATGCGTATTCGTTACCAGCTAATTACTGACGACATGAAAATGACAGATGTGATTTTTAGAAATTCCATTTTATCCCCACGTCTTCATTAACACCATCTTAGAGTGTTAATTAGAATCCATGCTTGAAATTACTTGAATTTTTCTTACAAACATGTTATGTTTGAAGACACCTGCGCCACAGAAACATAGAAACAATTTTTTCCCAGACAATTTCGATATTAACACAATGAACTTACTACGACTTTCCCCGGATGTCGAAAGAGGATACTAACACCCCATGGCACATTTTTCCCACTTTTGATACTTTTATACAACCTTGTTTGTCCTGCTGACAGTAATATGTATTATAAAGAAAGATTTTGAGATTAAGAGCAGACGACACGTTCCTCAAAAATATATGATTTTTCCTAAGAATATGTCATTGAAGTCTAGGCACTTAAACAAGTTTCCTCACAAAAATTAGGGTACCTTACTGGGCATTTGGACAAGATACCACAGGGTCATATTTCTTATATAACCCTTAAAAGTAATCTTCTGAATGGCCAATACCACAATTTTTGGTGTACTTATATTCAAAGACATTTTGAAAAGAATGTAGAAATCAGAAGAAAATAACAAATAATTATTTTTTCGTAAAATACCAGGAGATACAAAATATATAATTTAGGAACGTGTCGTCTGACCTTAATAACTTCTTTTTTTATATTTTCTCCGTCAAAATTGTTTCAACCGTTGACAGAAATTATTTGATGTTTTTCTTTATGTTCTCATGTGCCCAGGGTCACTGAGCAGTGAGAGTGTTTTTTTTTGGTCGGCACCTTTTGTAAAAGGGGACATTGGTTTAACGGCCTCACACGAAGAAAAGATTATCATGTCCCGCAGTTAGATTAACACTCTAACCACTGCACCACGAAGACGGTATGTAATAATGCAAAGAACACCAGTATATTGAATTTTGACCCGTTGAATTCTGAATAAACCAAAACTTTATAATGAACTAGAGGTACTGTGAAAAATGAACTAACTAAATGATACCCCCCGCCTCCCATATGGTTATGATGGCAAAGTCCATGTTTTGTTGTGGCCAAGAAACCAAAAATATGTGTCGGATCAAAAAGTAAAATAGGAGGTGCTCAATGGCAATATGTAATAAAGATTCTGTGAAAATATCATTAAATTTTACTCAGGGGTATAAGAAGAGTTGCGGATAAGAGATGGGTACATGTACCCCAAAGCGTAACAGACAGACGGACGGACATACCGATTACTATGTACCCTCCCACTTTTCAAGCGAGGGGTATAACAACATGTTCAGCAAGTATTGTACGTTGGCAATGCAATTGGTAATTGGTGAAAAAAGGATATGTCCACGTAACTAATGATTTTTTTTGACATATGTGGTCAAAACGAGCTTGAACAACAATTTCCTCCAAATATATGAATATTGTTTTTTCGAGCAATTAAATATAATGAGATAACAAACAGTATTCAAAAGTCCTTAAACAATACAAAAAAGGAGTAGAGCAAACAAGGTCCTCCAAAACATCAGAGGTGGGATCAGGTGCCATGGAAGAGTGGGCCTGCCGACCGGTAACACCCACGTTTGCTCCTTGCCATGATCGGGAAATAACGGGAAAATCCGTCGTCAATTCAGTGTGTAAATAATTGCCCAACAACGTCGGCCAGCATATGCCTCAATGATATGCAAGGTCATTGCATCGAAAATAGAACTTACGAAATCATGAATTTAAATGAGGGTGTTTGAAGTTAAAGGTACATTTATTAAATCTGGAATTTCCATGAATCCCGAGGACTAGAAATGCATGGATTTCATGTATACAGATGATTAAGCTGGTTGTCAAGGGGATGTGCCCCCTATTAACAAGGTTATAGCATAAATAAATAATTTGAATAAGGCCACCAAGTTGCGCGTTTTTTAACGCATAAAAGTCATTTCCCCATTTTCAAATTTCTTCACTTCAAGAACAGTTTTCAGGAAAAAAGTCCCTGAAGCTCTTGTCTGACCAACAAATATACCTTAAAGGTGCATAATCACAGAGCTGATGTTAATATTTTCTAAAATTTTCTGTATTTTAGATTCCATATCTAATAAAATATTATTTTCTTCTCGAAGTTATTGAAACTTATTTCTCGACGCGTTTGATTGACACATTAACATTGATAGTAAAATATTACGTAAAAATAGAACATACATAGCGTCAGAATCGAAAATTTATATATAAATATCCTACACTTAAAAAGATACATGTGGTATTTTTCTTTGATTTTAGCTAATCCCAAATTTCTCAATGCTTCCAATCTATAAGGGCAATAAATAATGTCCTGGGTTCTATGACATACAACATAGAAATAACAAGACATTTAGCTTGACTTTCTCTCATGATTGAATGTTTTATGAATTGATTACAATTTATGTGACCTCTTTTCATCACATAGTTGTGAGAAGCCGGAAATCAAGGGCTATTCGAGGCACTGCGTTAAAAATGAATGGTAAAAAATCAGTAAATTAAAGTGATATTAAACGCCTCTTTAAAGCTGCTGCAAATTCGTTAAGAATCCCAAAAATTTACAGCAACTAATGTGTGTTTTATAAACACATGAGCAGATGGATCTCATTGAACAAATATGATATAATGGGAATCAAAAATGAGAACCGTCCTTGGTGACAAGGACTTACAATAGCCAATGTACTGTTTGCGAAAATTCAATAAATTATCACTGATGATGTTTGATTGACTTTTAGACACATAGCAAAATTGATATGCATCATTTTGGGGATAGTTTACACAGTTTTAAAGAAATATTTGTCAGTAAAAAAAGCTTAGTACTCAAAGGTCACCCTTTGTTTTCAAAAATGAGTGAAAATGACAGCGTGTAAGAATACTTTAACAATTACATGTATTTTAAAAAATCAGAAATTAAAGTTATCAACGTATGTCTGAAATTCAAACAGATAATGCAGCTTGAATGCATTGTTTTAAACCCACAAAATAAATTTACAATAAGATGCATTTGACAACAAGATGTGTTTGTGAAACACTATGCGCCCGGCTGCAACAAAATTCTAAAATGCAATTTTTAGCAAATAGGTCACAGTCAAGGTCACACGATCATTGTCCTTGGTGTCATTTGAAAGCATTCATTAGTGGAGTATGCATACCAAATATAAAGTCTCTATCTCCTATGGTTCAAAAGTTATGGCGAAAGTTGAAAAAGCTATTTTTAGCATACAGGTTACAGTCAAGGTCACAAGGTCATTGACCTTGGTGTCAGTTGAAAGTGCTTAATTAGTAGAGTATGCATACCACATATGAAGTCTTTATCTCTCACTGTTTAAAAGTTATGGCGAAGGTTAAAGTTGACAACATACAGACAAACAGACAGACAATGTACGCCCCGAATAAATTCGGGCGCATAAAAACAGCCAAGGTCTGAGAAGAGCAAAGAATTACAAAAGCACAAAAAAGTTTTGTATTCCATTTTCTTAAATATTAGAAATCTTTTCAGTTCAATTTCTGGAGACTAGAAAACGAATTTTTGCCAAAAATATAAAAGTTTTTGAGAGGATAGAACCAGAATCAGGAATCCACTACATTAAATTTCTTCTTTTATCACTTCTTTTCACGGCTTAAATTCAAACAACACCAAAAAAAAGGGCAGGGTCTCATCCCTGTTCCCCATTGCAATTTCAGACATTGTTATACCTGGTATTTAAATGATATATCTAACATAATATATGGTAATATAAAAAGGGGAAAAAAACTTCTCATGGAACGTCGTCTCCAGTCACGACACCAAAAAGATATTATCATAACCTCACCTGTATCTCCAAGACAACAAACCAGTTTCAATGCTTAACTTAAAAAAGGTTTCTAACAACCGTACTGTCTTGTAACTTAACGAATTCCTATTCAGCACTAACTGAAAAATAAAAAAAAGCTATTATATATTTCCTTACATGTTTGTTCCATTGTACACTTTTCTATACCATTTTATAATAAGAATATTTATGTCTATTTGTACCCCATGTCCAACTTATAATTAGCGAATAAATTTAACCATGGTTAAAATCACGCGCTTATTCCCCTAATGTTAACCATCATACGCTCCCTGACCCAGATTGATTTGTAATAGACTTAAGGCCAGGTTGAAACCCAGGGTAGGGGTTATATTTCAGGATTTTACTTATACTTCTACAGGATTACCGCAACTATTCTGAAATATCAATTTGCACTAGCCAATAAATAAAAATTCGACCAAATGTCATCATGCATGTGTCTGATTTAATTAATAACTATGTATATTAGTCCGGTAAGAATTTTTTTTTGAAAAAAGTAGGTTATTATGAGTCAAGAAAATGCTACATTGTACTGGGTATAAAGATGTAAATACATTGTACGGTGCCATAGCAACGTAAAACGGCACAAATGTTCTGTGGCATTTCTTTAAATGGTTTCGAGAAAGGTTGACGTGCTAGAAAATGTAAGTATTTAGATATTAGGTACATGAATAAAAGTTGTTTTCCTTGAATGCACCAAGACAGTGTTCTTTATTTTACAAAGAAAATGAAATTGTTGGACAATGTCAAACGTAAAAGATGAACAGGAACAATTTAACAAGGGCAAAATAAGCTATATTTAACTATGTATTTGTTTTCTTTGTATACATAATTGTGTATAAATTATTATTGATATATACAAAAATATTTTTTAAGAAGTTCTGACCACTTAATGTGACTGAACTCATCTGTAAATTTGATATTTTTTTAAAAACTTTAACATAGTAAGAGACAGGGAAGCAAACAAGGTTCAGAGAACATGGGTTTATTCAAGAAAAAGAACAACCGAATTGAGCCCTCAAAACCTAAACATTCCATAAATAGTTCAACTGGTTCCATGACTAAGTCTGAACTAAATATGGCTATCATGGAAATGCTGAATTTGAACCAGACTTCTGAGAGCTGTGATTACGTCTGTCGAGGTATGAATAAGTGGTGGATTCAAAAAAACTCCAACGAAACAAGTGTTAAAAAGTCCACTATTTCTTTCATTTATTCATAATGTACATTAAAATACTCATATTTAAAATAGTGTTCTTCTTAGCTAAACTAAATGCTTGAAATGATCACTGACAATTGTTTTTGGATTAATTTTTTAAACTTGTTTGAAAGGTAACCCCATTACGGAAGGTGGAAAGCGGAGGCAATTGCTTAAAATGCTCTCCGTTGCTCTACTACCAATGGCGGTACTGGTAGGCATGACGGGAAATGTTTTTGTCTCTACAATACAAAACTTCATGGAAGCAAAAGAAACAAGAGACGTTCTGTTTTTCTCGTAAGTGCTACTGTATTTCAGTTTTAACAGGCATTCTAAAAACTTTACAATGATTATGATTTCAATCTTTAAAAAAACTCAGAATCTTCTCTTTTTGAGGTTTAGGATCAATATATGTATAATCTTTTACAGAATAGAACTTGGTCAATTGATGAGATACCTGCAAAGAGAACGAGACATGAGCGCCCTCTACATTAGTGCGATTGGTCCGGATACAAAAGAGTTTCTCCTAAAGAGGTACCCAGATACTGACATGGCTCTGGAAAACTTATCTTACTGGCCTGTCAGTAAGAAAAACGACAGGCAAGAATTCCAATCAAAGGACAAATTTCTGCTGTTCCTAAACCGTCATCGATATCAGCTGGATCTGTACAACCGAACAAGTAAAGAGGAGATACTTTTCTACACCGATGTAATTGATATATTCATCACTTGGCTATATGATGCTGTTTCTGAAGCAAGATCAGGCTCCATTTGGAAAACTTTGGTAGCCTATCAAGAAATCATCGTTGCAAGCGAATATATTGGTCGAGAACGAGGTATGGGTGTTACGTATTTTGCCTTTGGTGGATTTAGGAGCAAGGAAGATTATTTGCTGTTTTTAGAGGCACAAGATATTGCAAACATAACATTTATGTCGTGTCGGCGATATTCTGAGCTAGCTTACAGCATTTATGAGAATCAACTTTTAAATAATGATTTGATTTTAGCTCCTGTTCGATCGATGAGACTTCAGATTCGGTCAAACAAGAGTTTTCGTCTAGTTGGATCACTAACTAAAGCAAATGAATGGTTTGACAATATGACATTATATCAAGATATTGTTCGAGATACACAGAAGGCCTTAGCTGGTAAGATTGATGACATGCTGACTTTAAGAAGCACAGAAGACATGTACACCATCATAACGATTGCTTGTATCTTTGGCGCTGTTTTCATCGTGTGTCCTTTGGTGATTACTGGTGTTTATTACTTAACATCGGAGATTCAGAAGTACTCCATATCCATTGCTAATAGGTACAATTTTTTTTAATCAAATCCCATTCAGGAATAACTACTATAGTTAGATGATACATGTATTACATTCTTCTGTATCAATTGAATAACTTCATGATTAATGTTTGGTCATTCTGATTGTGATTCTTCAGAACAAAAGCATTGAACAAGGAAAAGAAGAGAACCGACACACTCCTATACCAGATGCTGCCTAAATCTGTGGCAGAACGTCTCAAGTGTAACGAGCAAGTGGACGCCGAGCACTATGACCAAGCCACCATCTTCTTCAGTGATATTGTTGGATTCACCAAAATTTCTTCCTCGAGCTCTCCCTTGCAGGTTAGGAAATTAACTGACGTCTTGTAATGGACTCTTTTGTTTGAACGCTACATTTATTTTAAATTTTCATTTTAAAATTTTAAAACTGTCTTTGTATCACTTTGTGGTAAAAGTCAATTTGTACGTTTGTTGCATTGTCCAGGGTTAAACAAATTGAGTTCCTACCTTACTTTCTGTGCGCTAGATATTCTAGCTGTTAATCTCTAAATGAGATTTTGCTATCGTCGTAAAATACCAAGTATAACTAGGTTCCAGGTATTTTGAAATGTCCATCTCTTTTTCTCCATTCACCAAGTAATTCTCTATCGATGGCTTGTCTCTTTCCCTACTCCAGGTTTCCTCCTGCATATACATGTCCTATACTTTTGATTTTGTTATTGAATTACATATATCATACAGTCCTGCCTTCTTTACACTTTGATTCATCTTTGCATTATTTTCTAGTTTTTTTTCTTTAAATATATCTCTCCAAATTACACTTATTCACAAGAGGTCAAGTTTTCGGTTTGTTTTCTACTGATCCTGTGAAAAAATAAGGGGTTGAAAGTATATTTTCGACGTTAAAAAGATGCCTTCTTATTCGAATACTTACGACACGTGTTTTTTCCCAGTTTTGATCAATGTAAGACAAACAACTTATTCTAATAAGTTCAATATTATTGTGCCTCCATTCTTTATAAGCATTGGGTCGTCGTCCCTCTGCGGCCTCGGCTCCATAAAGAATGGAGACTGACTTAAACATGAATCTTTGCGTAAATTAAGTAACTAATTACATTATACATGTAGTTTGTATTTTGAAGAAAACGGTTTATCAAGCTTTAATGAACATGAATCTTTAACAGGTTGTTGACATGTTGAACAGTCTGTACACTTGTTTCGACGAGAGAATAGAAATGTATGATGTGTACAAGGTGGAGACTATAGGAGATGCATACATGGTCGTATCCGGTAAACCAAAGCAATTTACAAGTTATATTTCTTTTGAGCTAATATTCACAAGTCCGAAAAAATATTGCGACAATGTGTTCCATATGCTTTCTGTGTAGGGTGTAATATTTCTTGTAATAATATTTTAAATTACATATCATAGACATGCTCATTAACATTACTGATATGATATTTAATTGTACATATACAGGTGTACCTAGAAAAAACGGAATACGGCATGCATCTGAGATTGCCAAGATGGCTTTTGACCTTCTTAGAAAAATTCGCCACTTAGAAATACCCCATCTTCCAGGCATCAAATTCAGTCTGCGTATCGGCTGTCATTCAGGTACATTCAGGTGTCACATTTGTAATTTCATGTTCTTTTTAAATATCGATAGTTGTAATAGTTGTACATTTATCTGTAAATTAAGGTTCCGTGGTGGCTGGTGTAGTAGGGAACAAGATGCCGAGGTATTGTCTATTTGGAGAAACAGTGAGTGTGGCCTCCAAAATGGAATCCCTTGGAAAAGGTAATATATTTAGTTCCCTTTCCAAAGAAAAATTCCTTCAAATTCATATATCTGTGTGAATATTTTTAATAACCCGAAGAACCGAAATGAATTTGAACTACCAAATATATATTGGATTCCAACACTTCATAAGAATCCTTACAAACAAAGATACATTGCGAATTCCAGTAAATGTTCAACCAAGCTTTTTTCTTTACTCCTCACTAAGATATTGTCAGTATTGAAGGAAAAAACTTTAAGAGTACTTTGCAACAATATATTAAAAAAACAGTATGAATCAGATGTGGATACTCCAAAATTCCAAAGAACTTTAGGACAATTTGAAATCACAAGATTTTACCTAATCAACAGCTTAAAAACTTTTCAACTTTATACACAACCATTCCCCACGATAAATTAGAGACCAGGCTTTTTGATATCGTTGACAGCTGCTTTTTCAATAAAAATGGAACTCTTAAATCTACTTACCTGGTCATTTGATATTTGCAAAATTATTTTGTTAAAACACATTCTGATTGTATACACAATTCCTCTGAAGTTGACATAAAGAAGATGCTTGAGTTTCTGCATGATTTAAATACTAGTATCTATGTGGTTTTTGGAGACCAGGTCTTCCAACAATCCATTGGAATTCCCATGGGTACCAATTGCGCTCCGTTATTAGCAGACCTATTTTTGCATTCATTTGAAGCAGAATTTGTGCAAAATCTTATGCGTGAAAAGAAGAAAACACTTGCTGCAGCCTTCAACTGGACATTTAGATATATCAATGACGTATTGTCAATTAACTATTTATTATAATTTCCATTCCTATGTCGATTCGATATATCCTGGTGAGCTTAAGATAAAAGATACCCACAGAGTCTGACACATCTATTTCGTCTTTGGATATTTTACTTGAAAAAACCGTTAATTGAATCTTACAACCAAGCTGTATGATTAACGTGATAACTTTAACTTTTCTGTCTTCAACTTCCTTTACTTATGCAGCAATATGCCTTTATCACCTGCATACGGAGTTTATATATCTCGGTTGATTTGATAAGCAAGAGCATGCTCTACGTATGAACAATTTCTTAAACGAGGTATATTGTTGACAAACACCTTCATGAAACAAGAATGTTAGCAGTCTCATTGAAAGTCATCATTTTGTAAGTTCCATGGTCGATACAATGACCTTATCAGCAAATATAATTTATCATTGAGTCAAATGCTGACTGACGTGTTTCATTCTTAATTGTTAGTCCATTATTTATAACTGAATTGACGACGGATTTTTTCGATATTTCCCGATCATGACAAGGAGCACACGACGGGTGCTCACTCCTCCATGTTACCTGATCCCACCTCTGATGTTTTGAAGGTCCGTGTTTTTGCTCTGCTCCTATTTTGTATTGTTTAATGGACTTTGATATCGAATACTGTTCGTTATCTCTATATCCTTCATCTAGACTCTATCAGTCAGTACTTTGAGTCTTCCTATTGTAATTATTGTAATTACAAAGTATTTTAAAATAAAATACAATGTTTTAATTATACAGCAAACAAGATTCATTTGAGCGAGTCTACTCATGACTTACTGAAATCAATTGGCGGTTTCACCATGCCAGAAAGGAAAGATGACGTTCTACAGGCAAGTGTTTTCCGTAATATCTACTGCACTAAGTGATTTTATTCCCTGAATTTAGATTTTTTTTATCGAATATCAAGTATTTGAATAATGTTTACAATTTCAGACAGGACAAAAACAATATACGCCCTGGATCTATCGATCTGGATGCATAATAAGCTTCATTCCTTAATTAATTTTTGACCTCTTTGCATGTTTATTATTTGTCGTGATATGTTGAAATCTGTGTTTTACTGTAAATGAACTTGTATACAATAAGAAAGGATTCTTTCCTACCTCACTTCTTTTACATTAAAATTTTTACAGGAAAACGGTTAAATCTGATAGCCCGTCCCTTTGTTTAATTGATAAATAATGTCCAGGTTTACTTTCTTCTCACTTCTTTAGAAATAAAGCTCTTATAAGTTGGTCGATCGTACGACGGTGACAACTTAAGGCCAATTTAAATTGATGATTTTGGATATGTCAAATACATTTTATTCTTACCATTGCGATGAAGATAAGGGACACCATTGCATAAAAACATGAAACTTGCTCTTTTAGTTAAACGAGTTGAATCCAGCCTTTCTATCGTCAACTTTTCTATTCTATATAGTAAATAAATATAATTGCAGTATCACTTTCTTATGGTGTTTATGTCTCTAAACTATGTCTTATGTATTCGCTACCCAAGAGATTGCTCCTGTGCACGATCGATTATTAAAGCGAGGCATGCAACTCCCTGATAAGTTGATGTTACAGAATTTCATAACCTCGTTTAAAGTCGCCATTTGGTAAATGTAATAGCCGCTTTAATGACATTGTAAGGAAATATAATCTATCATTGTGTAGCTTCTGTCTGAATGCCAATTAATATATTGTAAAGCCTTTTTATACTACGGAAAGATCCCTCTACAGATCAATACATGGGGCTCACGGCGGGTGTGACCGGTAAACATGCTTACTCCTCCAAGGCACCTGATAAACCAGCTCTGGAATTTCAAGGGGTCTCTGTTAGAGGCCCTCTGTTGTTTATAGATATTTTAGATCGATTACCGTTCATTATCTACATCTTTTACATTAGTAAAATCAAAGGAATAAATTTTATGAGGTTTTGTTTATTCTGGTGTTATACAAAGCAGTTGTTTCCAAATACATCAAGAAAACCCATTTTTTACTTTCACAGAATGACCAAGACCTTCTTAATGCGTTTAAAGGAATCATCCACACCTACTGGTTGACTGAAGTGGAGGGGGTTGATAATGACTCGGACTCTATTCACACAGAGAACGACGATCTCCACGGCACACACGCAGCAGGTCAGAGCTCGAGTAAGGAACATTTCCAAACAGCTTGTAGTACTGGTATTCCAAAGCAACATAGCAGCTCTGTTTGTTTCCAAAAATCATAACAAAAAACGTGATAAGTGTAAAAAAAAGTTTTTGAAAAAAAAAATCTTAATTTTAAATGAAATTTAATCCATAAAAACAATGACAGAAGAATTTGGCTAGGAGACATACCAAAATCAAGGAATTCTTTTTGATATATAAACGGTTTCTTGACTAGAAATGCAGTATACATTTATTTATTCAATTAAATAAGAGAATGACTGCGAAAACCAAAAGAATTATGATGAAAAACATGACATGCATATTTCACAAATATATTTACAATTAGGATAAATGTTTTCCATTTTCTTTTCTAGGTCCCAAAAGCTTCTGGTTGCATTAAGGGTGACATGAAATTTGAGAAGCTTTAAATCATTGAGAAGATTGGACAAAAGCAATGTTTCAAGAAAAATTTAAATGTATTTGCTTCGGTTGTTGCGGACCTGAGATTAGGCATGAAGTGATCACTTGACTTTTAATTTGTCTTTCTATTGGCATTACCCTGTAATGGTATACCTATTGTGCAGTTCGTGCTTGATGTTGAAGTCTGTGGATCAACTTTATCAGAATTTATACCGTATAAGTAGAATTTTTAGCGAGGATTTAATTTTGGCATTATTAGCGAGGGTGCCGAGATCGCTAAAATTGAATATAGCTAAAAATTAATTGCGTTTTATTTGTAAAAGCTACTTAAATATTCATTTTTAAAATCGCTAAAATAACATCTCGCTAAAAATAAATTACCATTTTTTTTAGGACAAATCGCTAAATTTGCGTCTCGCTAAAATTTCCACATACGGTATGCATAGTTTTGACTCATTATTAACATTTATTTAAAATCTTACACAGAAAAATATCATAGATTGAATCAAATAGGGCACTAATTTGTTTAATTGAAATCATTATTTGAAACTTTTATTTTGATACTTTTTTTAATCTTGGAATACAATGGAGTTCACTTCAGTCACTTCTAAAAATATCCTTTAGTCTTTGATTTGTTTTAAAATCAAGGTCCAATTTCCCTTAAAAAAGAAGGATAACTTAACCAGTAATTAATTCCTAAAATATTCAAAAATTCATTTCAGTGCGTAAAAATTTGTTTAGCCATTTCTTGACTAATTGTAATATTAATATGTTATACTTCTACATAGCAATCGCGCCTTTTGGCAAACAAAAATGTTTCGAACATTGACTTGCAAAATGTCACACATAATATAAAAATCTTTATATATATGAATTGGTAAAATTTCATTTTCAAAATTTTGTAAATTGTTTCAATTTTGATTTTTTCCAAAAATAAAATTTTTCACCTTTTATAAAAGTAGAATTTAAAAGTTATAAAAAAATATTGTTTTTTTGTTTTTGCATGCCTAGATTTTACCGGGTAAATATTCTGTACAGTTTGATGCTTCCTTTATTATGCTACATTTGAATTACCATTTCTGTATATGACATTTAAAAATCTATTTTACAAGATAAAAAATATTTTTTTTTGTTTTAAAACCAAAAACTCATGTATTTATGTGATCAAATTTTGTTCATAACATGATGACTCTCAAATTCTTTTCAGTCCGGATAAAGTTTTCGTCTCATTTCATACGTGAAATCTTTTTCCTATGAATATACAATGTTATGATTTTTTTTTTAAAATTTCAATTTGCTAAATTTGTTTAAATCAAAAATGAGATTACACATGTTTTATCATGCATATTTTGGCTCTATGTTGGCGATATCTCGGCATTACACAAAAAACAAAAGTGTGGTGCGCCGTCAATCTTCTGAAGACGTCATTTTCACAGTCGTTTTCACACCAAACGCGTTCACACGAAAAATCATTATATTTCTGTTAGTTTTTTAAATATCACGTCAGAAATCTAAATATTGCATAATAATAGAACAATTTAAAGATACATCTGAGAAAATTGTTGATAAGTATCGCCAATTTTAGAAAATTAATTATATATAGTTAAATTTTGGATTCCGCATGCTTTTGCTTCAATTTTTTGTCATGCTCCGTACCTCTCCATCAGCAATATCAACATACCGATAATTTTCGTAAAATTTTTTTCAGAAGGAATGTAAAATTTTTTGTTTAATCTTTTACAGATACATATTTCATGTGAAATTTCTTATAATTAAAAATATTCCATTTAAATAATTAATAGCAAATTTTCATAATTTTATGATTAAACTTCTTTTACATAGCAATCGCGCCTTTTGGCAAACAAAAATGTTTCGTTACATTGACTTGTGATTTTATTATGTTAAAAATGTTTATATATTTGAATTGGTAGCAATTTTAAGTTTTCAACATCTTAAACAGTTTCACCCATTTATTTTTGCCAAAAATAAAACTTTTTCTACCTTTTATAAAAGTAGAATTAAAAAGTTGTACAATAACATTCTTGTTTTTTTGTTTTTGCATGCCTAGATAAACCGGGTAAAGCGCATTCTGAACAATAATGCTTCGCTTTGTTATGCTATCGATTTGAATTAGATATTGTATATGACATTTAAAAATGTATATTTAAAGATACATAATATTTTAAATTTTATGTTGTGATAATAAATCAGTGGTCTTTCTATTTTTGACTCAAATTTTGTTCATAACATGATGAGACACAAATTCTATTTGAGAAAAAAACTGTCTCATTTCATACGTGAAATCTTTTTCCATATAGTATACAATGTTTTGATTTTTTTTTTTTTTTTTTTTTTTCAGATTTATGAAATTTGTTTAAATCAAAAATGTGATCGCCGTGTTCGTTAAACCCTTTCACACCGGTTCTGCGTCCTCAGGGCGATCGCACGGCGCTGTACAAAAAATGCAAAACGCCGAGGTAATCGCAGTAGAGTCTTCAACAGCACTGTGATAACGCGGCGAGATCTCCACTGAACGCGGTAGAGTCGCGTAGGATCTCCTAGAACGCCAGAGGACGGCGATCACTTTGGGCATGTACAAGGTACGCGCCGTGTGATCGCAGTCTGATAAGAACGCAGTAGAAACGTAGTATGATCGCCAAAGCAGCGCGGTGAGATCTCCAACAACGCATTAGAAGCTCTGTACGAACGCCGTGAAGACCCACATGATCGCGACATGAACGCAGTGATAGTAGACTGCGCTACCACGGAGACGTCGTGGAGTCCTTGGAGATGTCACTACGTTTCTATCGCGATTTTACGGCGCTTGTAATGAGATTAATCGTCTTGTTAATTTTTTGACTGCGTTTACTCAACGACAACACGGAGTTTCATTGCGATCGTTCCGCTCCCTTGGCGTTTCTACAGCGTCCGTTTGCGATCACAATGCGCTTTCACGGCGTTGTTAGATCGTTGTCAGCCAGCTCACAGAACAAGAGCAATGGTCTCATATTTGATCAGCAATAATTCTAAAGTATTTGTTTTACAAGGAGCATTGAAGTAAAACTGGGAGGAGAAAATTACACCAGAACTTAATTGTTCTGTTGTTTACTGAAATTTTATAGCAACTTTTCAGTGTGGTTATTATTTTTTACACTGTGTTAATTATTTTAAGAATATTTGAAGAACGTATTGTGAACGTATTGTAAACGCAACCAGCGCAGTCAGAACGCTGTGAATGCGAGGTGAAAACTCCTAACACGCCGTGAAAACTCCGCAGAAGCGCAGTCAATCGCCAAGAGGTCTCCGTGAGAACGCAGTAGGACGCCGTGAGATCACCGTAGAACGCGTCGGTCGCCGTAGGGACGCCGTGCCATCTTCACATTGTGAAAATTTTCAGGAATTTGTGCAATTTCCTTGCTATTCCATGCGATTTTAAAAATTTAACGACGCCGAAATGACTCCGTGTGGACGCAGCTCGGTGTGACAGGGCCTTTCTCTTCATATTTTTCATTCGAATTGATGACTGTTCTATAGTTATTTCGTAATATCGGTATTATCGAATATATTTTTCAAATCCGTCGATTTCAAATGATCAATAACTAGAGCATTTCTTTTGTAATTTTAAGGAGAAAAAAATCTCCAAAAATTGATTGATTGATTATTTGAGGTAAATAGTCCTAAATTATAAAATATCGACACATTCTAACGCTTCGAGAATATATCCTGATCATAACAGAGTATACATTTGTGTACATCTCTCGTATGTAGTTATCCCTGTAAAATTGGAATTGTTCATGTTATCCCCAAAATACTTAAATGATATGTGGAATTGCATAAAAACAATATTGATTATCAGTTGTTTTATAATAAACTAGTGCTAATTGTAACGGGGACCGTTACAGATGTTCCCCAAACGCTCCCCAACTCCCTTTTGGTGCCATATTCCCTGAAGGCTTCATTAAATAGGACAAACTCTATGGAATTAAGACTTTAACAATGTTTACCCAGAAGTGTACCAAGTTCATTCAAATTTAAGCATTGCACGCTTCCGCATGTAAATACATGTGCGTAATGACCATATCATCTTGTCTACACAATCTATATATTTAAATATACTAAATATTAAAGTATTTAATCCAAAAGTATTAAAAAATACGCTCATTCAAATGTATTTTTTATTTTACTCTTTTCACGAGCACGCACGTGCATACATGAGCATGTTGACTATACCTTCTTGTAGAAGTCCATTACATCTATCTATGTTCTAAATCCCACCCCGTTTGGTTGTAAACCAAGGGAGTCATAGCTATTTAAAGTTTAAGCCAATCAGATTGCAGTGCATGCACACGCACGTGTATGCATGTGCAGGTGAACATACCTTCTTGTAGAAGTTCATTATATCTATCTATGTTCCAAATCCCATCCCGTTTGGTTGTAAACCAAGGGAGTTATAGCTATTTAAATTTTCAGCCAATCAGATTGTAGCGCACGTGCATGCACGTGTTTTTATGATAATTGCTATATATTATGTTGTAGGATATCCTAATGCATGGCTATGTTCAAAATTTCAAAGGATTTTGTCAAAAAACAAGAAAGATATTGAGACTTTAGTTTCAGCCAATCAGAGCGAAGCGCACGTGCATGCGCGTGAGATCTTGCTATTTTGATCATGTGATATTGTCTATGCTACTAATATATCCTTATATTATGAGTTTTAAAGCATTTCATCAAAAATGTAAAAAGTTACGCTTATATCAATTAAATCGGTCATTTCACGTGTTGCACGTGCACGCTCTTGCAAGCACGTGCGCGCAAAATGACCTTCGTTCCGCAAATCTACATAACATGTCTACTGACCCTAAAAACATTTCACCTGAATCGGATGTGTAGTTTACAAGATCATTCGCGGACAAAATTTTCCCGAGAAGAAAAATAATAATAACTAGATGAAACTCGTTGCTAGCAACGAGAGGTCGTCCGTCCGTTTCCGGAAAGAAAACGTAAAATC